AGCGATCGCTAGCCCCTCACAGGAAATTCGACCCTCGAGGGAGTGGGAGGTTCCCTCGCTCCGTCGCGTCTGCCCTTCAGCAACCTTTCGGCCAAATTTACGGAAATCTCCCTTATCCGCGGATCCTGTTGATCCTCCCCGCTTCCCCTAAGCTCGTGAAACGAGCGCATGCATAACGCTCTACGTCGGTCGTCGGGCAGAGCCACAAAACCAAATATTCCTCTGGGCGCCGCGCTGCTCGCCTCGAGTTTCGAGTCCCGCCTGCGCTGAGAACGTACGCGTAGCGTCACATCAAGCGAGAATCAAGCTTCTTGCTGTACGAGGAATGCGTGCCGAACGGAAACGGCTTGCCCGGAGACAACGACGTGAATTGCCTGAATAAGTGAATATACGTCGAAGAGAATGAGCTTTCTGAACTGCAAGATATGCTCGCGCTTTCCCTCGTCGACGCATAACCTCACGCAAAAGCACCAGCAGATGCAGAATACCGGAAACTCCGGAGAATCGGCGGCTACTAAAGCCGGGGAGAGAATGATGAAAGCCGATCCCGCGTTGCAGGTTGGCCAGTGACGGACTGGCATCGCTGCGCTTTACTTGAAAAATCACTGATTGATCGAGATCGTCTCTCGCTTATCGGGCTCGAACAAAATAAATTAGGATCTCACGTTGGCCTCGTGCTCTTCCCCTCGCATCCGCTCCCCGAGAATGAGCCCCGAGAACGTTAATTTCTCGCGGAGCGTCTTCAACGATTACGCAGCGCATCGGATGCACATAGAGAGAATCCGCTCTAGCCGGAAAGTTCCAGAGCGTTCGGAATCGTAAGAGGAACCGAAAATCGGGAGCTTGGATGACATCTAATGAGAGCCTGTGCTCATATCATGAATACTTGGGACTCGGGTCGCTCTAGAGGAGCTGAGACGGAACTTAGTGTTTCGAAATCAGCGCTTGGATCGAGATCGGAACATGGCTTCAATCACCCGGAATTAGGAAGCTAAACATTCCCGAATGAACCTGTGGTCTCTCAGTGTTGACCTAATCCCTCTTTCGCCGGGTTGAGGCGCGAGAAGTTTCCTGGCAGACTCCTTGTTCCCTTGGAAGTAATTGTCGAATGGAACTGCTGGGAAATAATCATCGGATTTCCATTCTGCTGGGGTTCGGATTTCCATTGAATCGATCTGCTCCTTGAGAGTGATAGTGGAGCCAGTTCACGGAAACTCCACTACCCCCCCCCCTCCCCTCCCGATCCCGATTCTCCCAAGCGGGAGCGGGCACATTCATCTAGCGCGTCAGGGTCTGGACCCAGTGCGAAAAACGCTTCCACTATCCGGGGAACTCCGCGCTCCGTAATCCGATGAGTGACTCTTCATGTTTGGAGACGATTCACTGCGATGCTTGAAGCACCCACGACCGATTGGTAGTCATCGGTCGCCCTGTCCCCGCTCTCTATCGAGGACGAGCTATTGAAAGCCAATTACGGTGCGTGTGCAAGCATCTCCGGTCTCGTTCGCTCGCTCCGAGCGCTTAGCTAAGCTTGCTCTTCGTTCGCTAACCTGTTTGCAGGTTTGCTCGCTACGGCCTCCCCCGGCCCGTCTCCCCCTCTGACCGTCGGCCCGTGAGACCGCTTCGCACGATGCGTGTAATGGGCCGCAAAGCTGAATTAAGATGTCGTTAGCTTCACTTTACCTCGAACTTACTGCTTGACATCAATGACCGCAGCCTTCCTGCATAAAAATTCGAGTAAGAGCTCACTGCGTTTAGAGAAGCTCACCGAAAAATTCACTCTCTACCACTTTAGAGCTCTTCTCGGTCAGGCTTTTACCGTACCAACACTTTCCAGCCGAGCAGAAGCGACGGACTCGGCTTGGTAATCAATTAGGAAAAGAGAAAGTCTGGATTCTAATTTTGAGAAACTTCCTGCGCATACCTATCCCTCCAGCGCTACTCAAATCCTGCCCGTATACTAAGGAACAGAACCCAAAATATCAAAGGGAAGACCTGGGTCTTCGGAAATCCGTTGGACCGCACGCGCGACAACTCCGTGGGCGGCTGCGGGGGGGGGGGAAACGACAGCGCCAGATCGTTGTCAACACCACAGGCTCCCGCTGATCCTCCTTTTTTTAGGATCGTCGCCGTCTCTTTTGTCATCGTCGTGTTTGTGGTCCTCATTTCCTGCTTCAAGGAGTAACGAGCAGCGAATCCGAGGTGACGAATGACGAGAAGGGGCCGGGGATATTCCACGATACCGTTCGTATTCGACCTCCGTACGGAGCGTACGCCTCTCAAGTAGCTCAAGTAAGCCGAGAAACGGAACAGAGGGCCGGAGAGATCGACTCTACGGTCGTGTACGGTCGAGGGTCGCTGCACAAACCAGGATATACACAGACAAAACTCGAGAGCAAGAGAACCGAACACTGAGATATGCGACCAAAGTTCGCCGACGGATGGGGTGTCGAACCGCCTTCGCACCGCCAAATCCAGCCTGGCCCGATTCTCGGTCGCGGGAGACAGAGGCACGCCGGCCACTCATACCCAAACTTTGTGAATCTTCCTCCGACAGAAGTTGTAGACTGGAATTCTTAGCCGACTGAATGACTCACTGACAGACAGACTGACTGACTGTCTGACTGAGTGCGAGCCTCAGCACATCCGAGTTGACCGGTGCCGACATCACCGCCGGAAGTCGGTTTCGCGCTCCTGACGCATCGAGCTCCGCTCAAAATTCGGAACTTCGAATTGACGCCCGTATCCGAATATCGAGTTAGGACCAGGGTTCGTCGAAATCGAATCGACAATCAATTACGCGGTGAGTTCCACCGGTTGGACCGAGTATGACTAGTTGCTCCCATCGCGCTCGCCCCGAGCTCAAGCGGGAACGAGCGCTGCGCTTGACCAACAACGCGAAGGAAGAGGCGAGGGTCAGTGAATTCACTTCTGTAAAAAGTTCGTCTTCCTCTTCATTAAGCCAAGCTGCCAATTAGCGGATTATATTACGAAGAGCTGGCGGAAGATGAAGACGCGGGGACTGCCGCCGACCTCTACCACTCTCTGTTAGCACCTCGTGGCCTAGTCGCTCCCACACGTCCAGACTCGATCTCCAACTCACGCCCAGTTTCACCTTGAGGAAGCCAAATGTTCTTGTCTCGGAATTCCGAATCCAGCCCGCTTGCTTGGACACTTGTTCATTCGCTTCAGAATCCAGACGGGGCTCGTTCAGGCGCTCTTCAATCGGCGTTTTGGTAGCATGGCCGGGGAGATTTCGTCAAGGCCCGGTCTCAACTTAACGCAGATGTTCACCGGACCCGGGGAGATATTCTCCCGATAGCAACAGCTTCTAATTAACGCTGGCCGACTCGGGTCCTATCCGACCGGCGCTTCCGAGCTTTTCCATAAGGAAGAAATCGAAAAAATGACTCAGCCCATTTCAATCCACACTCGGGCGAGCCGTTCGGGCGCCCAGAGTAGCGGCTACTGACCGCGTGCGGGTCCAAACATTCATTCGGTGGGTCGTTGCAGTTCCAGCGGAAGACCGTGTCTCCGAATTCAGGTTGGTCGTTCGGGGAGGGAGCGCAGCGGCAGGACAGCGGACCAACGAACAAGCGCATGCGGATCAGCTAAATAGCTGGACATTTCTCAAAAAGGCAAAAAATCCTGGGGATTACCGGGTGTCGCGAGATCGGCTCCAAATAGGGTCCACTCAGCGTCGCGAAGTGGATGACGTCGACTTTTCAGGGAAGACTCCAAGGAGCCAGAGACGACGACAAGGGAAAGTAGCTTCGCCGGCGAGTCATCTTAGCCCGAAAAAAGTGGGGAACTCCGGGGAAGTCGCGACGGTGGGGTCAGGCTCCGGGATGGGGCGGCAGGCAGGCAGGCAGGCGAAGAGGGACAGAATGTAGAGTTTGAAAGGGGCAGGCGGAGGGATGAAAAAGAGAGACAGGAGAATGTTCTTGCTTCCGGGCTTAAAGCGTGCACCGGCTGGCTGCTGTTCTCCTTGAAGTCGGGTGGCCCAAAATTAACTCCGCTTTTTACCAACAGCTGTTCCTTTCCCGACCGACCGACGCAAAAGACGCGAGGCAACGAGAAAAAATCTCAAAAACTAAGGACTGAGCCAGCTCGTCGGTCCGTCCAAGGAGCCAGCCCGATCGGCCTGAATTTAACAGCGCTTAATTTCAACGCCGCATACATTACTTGTTGTACGTATGCTCCGCTCCGCCTCAGCGGATAGTCGATGGCAGCGGGAAGAGCCAGCTCGATGGACGGACGAATCAAATCGAGGTTCTGGCCAACAGCGGACAGTTTCCAAGACGCACACTCGTCATTCCCCGGAAATCCAACCAGAGACTTCCACCACGTTCCGGGACCACGTGCAGGTCCGTGATTTTGTTCGATCTCGAGAGGGGTCAGGAGTTGTGTGGCAATGACCGAATGATCGTCTTGAATATCTTCTCTGGACCCTCGCCTCGGTCCGTGTTTCCTCATGTCGACAGGGTTTCCGATTCGGCGCAGCTCATCCATGTCACCACACGGAAGCATAATCCGTAGGTTTTGAATAGAGGATGGAGACGCGAGACTCTATCCGAAAAATTCATGTTTCGCATAATCAGGAGGCTCCCAAGGGACCGATGCGGTCCGGGGATTGCCGCGGAGCTGTTCACACCAAGAGGTGGACTTCTCGTGAGCGAATTATCAAGTATCGAGGCGCACAGGACCGAAGCGGATGCGTATTCTGTCTCTAATGGTAGGGGGTCCGATGAGCAGCGCCCAATCAGATCATTGCTCCCGATCTTTGCTTTGACGAATAAGATAGAATAGGCCCATAAAGTCCCATGTCGGATGAAACTGTCACGACCTGTGAGCCCTGACCTCTGACTCATTCGTTCTACTGAGAATCCGAATCATTTGCACCCATCTGATTATTCACGTCTCTGGTCCCCCCAGTTATCGTTGGCACCTGACCTAGGAACGAGTCGACCTGCAAAGCGTCTATCGGTATATGTACTTACAGTATGCGTAGAGGATTGCTCCGGCGACACAACAGCAGAACAGGGCGGTGGCCACGACGCCCATGGCGATAATGACGCTGGTTCTCCGTTCTCCGGAGAGACAACCCAGGCTTTTCTCCCCCGGTCCGGGACTCATTTGATCCAGCTCGGGTGGGTTAGCCACTAAGTGGGCCTCCACTGAATATCCGCCCTGGTAGGATTGGCGCTTCATCATCATCATGCTGAACTGGTGAGAATATCTGTCCAACTGAGAAAACTTAGCCGCTAATAGGGCAACTGATGACTTTTTTTTCACACAAGCCCACTGATTCTCGGCGGCCTGTTCTTCTTCCTCTTCTTCCCCTGCTCAATCAGTGTAGTAAACTGAAGCGACGACAAAACGTAACGGTCGATCTGAAGAAATCAATTAGAAACCGTTGTTGACAGAGAGATGTTGTCTCCACACGAAACGAAATTTCCTTCGTCCTTGACTCGGCCGATGTCCTGATGAATATTCACTTTCTTCTTCTCGAATGCTCTCGGATCAGTGATCAATTTCTCAACACGTAACAATGGGGCGCTCCCAAGTGGCGGAATTCGCGATTCTCGCGTTAAACAACTATCGTGGATACGACTTCGTGCTCGAGCTTGCTTCGCACAGGTGAGGTAGCGAGTTTCACGATGCTCGTGGTATTTCTCTCGGGGTCACCTCTCGAATTTTGCACGAGCTAGATCATCTGTGAGTTTCTTTCGCTTCGCCACAGGGGGATGTGGTTTTCGATTCCCTCAGATTTCAGAACCTATGTTTTTCTAGCGGCTATTTCGTTCTCCGGGGGAAGAGATGCGATGAGCCTTCGATTGTGCCTTCGAGTCCCGGAAGTGTTCGGGATTCTCTCAATCCTTCGACTTCTTAACGGGGGTGCTTCGGATGTTCCCGCGGGTTTCGCGCTCGCTCGATCATTCGATAAACTCCTGCGTCGATTCTCGCGTCGTCTTGTGAGTCCTAAGCTGTGCGGCTTCCTCTTGGTGGAGCTTCGAGACTAGCGAATTTGAGCGCTCCGGACAAATCCTTGTACTACCAGGGTGAGTCGAACGAGTTGAAGGCAGGGGGTGCGGTGCGGGAGTGGAGCTTTTGTTTTTTTCTTGATATGTAGCGATGATATGTCTGTCCTGTCCTTGACGCAGAAGAACCTTCAACTCATGTCACGTCGCACATTTTCGCTGCACTGTCCTTTTGCTTGCGCACTCTCTAATCGAACGTACTCTACTCGACCACCGTCGACGCACGTGTGAGCTCTCGACGAAGACTTGGATTCGGGGAGTGCCTCCTAGGGGGCGCCTGAGGTTCGTTTCGGAATGTGGGAGGAGTCACCCAAGCCCCGGACGTCGTCGACGTATTGCCGCTTAGAGGAAGTCCTTTTGCCGTTTTTTTCTCTCTGAGACCCTCTCTCGGACCCTTCCTCGGGTCATGCCGCGTGGTCGCGGCGTGGCGGTCACGTCTCAACGCTACCATCTATCGCTGAAACACGCTAGACGGGATGCGCGTTCTGTGAATGCGGAATGGTCGATTGACAATAGGCGTTTAGGCGAATATCCTTTTATGCCCCTCATCGTCGTACTGATCTCCTGTTTCCGCATTTACACCGACATCGCCGGTGCCTCCGCGATATCCCTTCTTTCTCAGCGACCCCATAGTCGTGCAGCGAAGACGTTCCTCCGATCCCTGCTACGCTCTGCTTTTTCGTCGCAGCAGCCGCTTCGGAGGGGAATCGTCGATGAAGGAAATAGGGACAAATATATTTTCCCCGAGGAAGGAAATCATGAAACATTCGTCGAAATCCCGAGCTTACCTCTTACCTATTACTCCCTGCCATCCGGTAACAATTCGCTGGGGGACATCCCGGGGAGAAAGCTGACTTGATCTACCGCGATAGGCTGGGCCGCTGACTGGGATTGATTGCAAGCACATCTCCCTTCGCGGTGCTGTCTAAAGGGATGGAACGATGCGGCCGACTCCGAGAATATTTTGCATGGATTAGATTTTCAGATCATTTCTCGAGGCCGAGTCGGAGAGAGGAAACAATGTACCTGTGAATGCTATCTCGAGATGTTCTTACCTGAAGTCGAATTATCCAGACTTATCCTCCCGGCGTCCATAGCGATGAACCGCGAGGATGAGCGCAAAAAACAAAACAATTTTGCTCATCTCAAACACCGCTCGTTCCCAATGGGGCGGCAGAAAACACGGCCGTCAGAAGACTCGGATTTGTCTGATACTGAATAGGCGGAATGTCCTACTTCGGATGAGGACCCTCAAAATACATGCGAAACGAAATATAAGGGTTTGAGCTCCTCGGTCTGTTCAATGCGATCTCAAAAAGACAGAAGCGTCGACGCAAGTCTCATCTTCCGGACTGGCCCGAATGATCGATTCGGTACCGGTCCGTTTCTCATGAACGCTTCGGGCGGTGCGCCGGGAGACCTGATGACGACTTGGGAGTGAACTTTCATCCATACAATCGTTCAATGATTAGAGGCTGCCGATCATACCGATCGTTCGTTCGGAGAAATGTCCCTCATCCGGGTATACATCTCAGCCAGCCTCCCAGGGACTCCCGAATCAGAATTGCGAGCGACGTGACGCAACGCCAACAGTCGAGAGGTCTAAGAACTAAAAGATACCGGGTAGGCACTTCAATCGTCGGGGCCATTTTCCTGGACCATTCCCAACTGAATTGGAAGCTTTTCTCCATTCAATGGTAGCGCTGCTTTTCCTGATATTTTTTCCAATGATTCTCTAAAAATCTCGAGCCACACCTCGACCACCGATCGCGGGTTCAGTCGACATGGTACGAAACTAATGTCGGTACAGGGCACGCCTAGAGCAAGTCTCTTCGCCGAGGAAAGAAAAATGTACGATGAGCTTCTCGGCACGCCAAGACGCTCTTGTAGCCCAGCCTCGGATTCAAATCAGTGCCGAAACTCTGGCAGAACGATTCCGCGGAACTGGAAAATCGTCGCATCATCAAATGCCGTTTGCCGGCCCCCGTAGATGAACACCCATGCCTATAAGCCTCGAGGCTCCAAGCTGAGATCCCCATGATGACGATTGTGATGATTGATGATTAAGGGCTCCGATAAGGGATACGCCGTGGTCAAAAGCTAGTCTATTGCCATGCAGCAACCAGACTTCGCCGTCAACATATGGTTTCAATCTGATCTAAGAGTCCAATTCGGGAATGAGACTTTGCGCCTTCGACGGCATCATGCGATCGATAGTATCAGAAAAGCCATGGCTTGGAAGGATCAAGGGGAAGAAAAAGCTGCCATAGTACACGGCATTCCTGATAAAATACTCGACGTTGTAATAAAAGCGTCGCGAGGCGGGGCGAGGCGGTGCAGTGCGCTTCGGATGGCACTTTCTTCGGACTTCCAGGGGCGGAACTCTGACATTTCGCACTGAACGAGAAGTGAATATTTGCGAAATAGAATCGGCGGGCGGCTACATTTTTCTCCAAAAAAAAATGGAAATCCCGAATTACCGCCCAGGCCAGCTCGTCAATTGGTAACGCCAGTGCCTGTTCGGAAAATTGAGCTGGTTCGAGCGTCTATCCACTGGATCTGAGTCGCTGGAGAGGTCTAAAAGAAGTCAACACGCTGTGTTCAACAGGCTTCGAGACGGAGTGAATCAGAGACCAAATTGTGACAAGAAGTTGCTCATCATACCGAGGAGATCCCCTGAGAGCTCGCTCACCACGTTCTGCGTGTCGATACGTTTGGAGGAACGGGATGAAAATCAAGCCTGAACGCTGGTATCAGACCCTCTTCACATTTATCGGGAAATCAAGGATGGGGCTCAGAAAGGATCGCTCGAAGATGAAAAAATTAGTCATTGAGCTCCATTGCCGAATGAACTATGGGGAGCGCTTGACGCTCATGTGCCCATGATTAAAAAAAAGATCTTACACACTCATACCGTTCCACAACAGAAGCGCTGCTCAAACTTTTGGCCGAGGAAATACGGACCCTTGGGGGAGGGTGTGCCCCGAACGCAGAAGTGCAGAAGTCGTCCGGAGAGAGATTCGCGGAAGCTCCTGATTCGAGTCAGAGGAAGGGGGCTTCGAGCGGGGGCTTCCAGGACCTCTGCAAGCCAGAAAGCGCGAACCCGACTATCGTCGAAGTCTATTGCCGGGGGAAGCCGGTCCATGGAATGATGGCGTCCAGACCTCTTCCTTCGGACCACGTGCTTCTAGCTGAGGGCCCCGGGGATAGCATTGCAGGCGCATTCTCCAGATTGGAGTCCAGAGCGATCGCACATGTCGGCGAGTTCGAGATTTCGCTCGAGAACAGAAAATATCGACAGCCACAGCTCCCGAGTACCTCTTCTATGGCGAGAATTATTATAGAACATCCGCGCCGAAATATGGGCCCTTTCCGAGAGCAGTTTGCATTCTTCCACTAACTCGGGATCTGGATCTTGGAAACGGACTGCGGGGCTCCCAGTCTCTCCCCAGGGGTTCCCAGTGTTTCACAGTCAGGATGTCTGTTGTCATTTTGCAGAATCTTGGCGGATTGAGCGAGAATCGGCTGCCAGAGGTATTTATGAAATGAGCGTAGGTCTATACAGTTTCTCGCATGTAGGCCGATCCCTGGATAAGGTTGAACCTTCCCGAAACTCCGGGTTATACCCTTGAGACGCTATGCCATGGGTATAGACCCACCAAGCCGAAACTTTCACGCCGAAACCCCGAAAGCCGAAACCTGGAACGCCGAAACCCAGAACGCCGAAATTCGTCTACCCGAAACCCAGTACGCCGAAAGTTGAGGTAGCCGAAACCCAGCGAAAAGCGCATGGTCATGCGCACTCACATAAGCCAGCTTGTCACTGCGAACCCCGGAGAGGGTTTCTTACGCTCGTGACAGGGACGCGAGCATTTACTCCAAACCTCGTACTCCTGCAGAACCGCGGAGAGTTGGTGCCTGCTGGAAATCTGTGTTCATCACCCTCGGAGTCATTCGGATCGGAGTCTTCATAACCGGATCTGATCACAGTCTGCTGTATCATGGCCGCCCCTCCGCGGTTACGAACCGCACCAGATTGCCATTCCATTGATACCTTTTTACTCATTTCCGAAATCAAACACAAAGTCAGGAAGTCTCATCGGAGGAACCCGAAGTGAACGTCCCTTGAGACCCCCTCTCGGAAGCAGCTCTTGGCGTGGAACCTCCCCATCGGTACGCCGTCACCTCTCCGACAACCGGTATGTCATACCAGAGGGGATTCTTCCACGTCTAGCGCTTCGGAGAGGGGGGGTTGATCTTCATGCGGTCGAGGGGCGCGGAAATGTGGAGAAGGATTAAAGTTGCTCAAGAACTCTCCAAACGAGCGGGTACATCGAAAAAATTCCCGGCATAGAGATGATGACACCAAAGATGGAGAGATGATCAGGACGCTAGCGCTGTCTCCGGACGCTCTCTCCAGAATAGCGTCCCTCTTCATCTCTTCAGATATGTGAGGCGTTTCGCTGTGAAGTTCTTCATCAACGTGCTAATGGGAAGGAGCGTAGGCTCTGATCCGTTTTCTCACCATGTCCCCGGATTTAGACGAATAAGAACGAGAAGGAAAACGGGGGCAGTTATGAGTGGTAACACGCATACTCTAGCACTCTGAGCAGTCCTGCCGATCCATCGCAGGCTGCACCGTATACAGTGGAATCTCGCCACAACAAACTTCGTGGTACCGAAGAAATATGTTCGTTGTGATGAGAGTTCGCAGTTACGAAAGTTGTCCATCATTATCTCTATGGCGAGCCTGGCAAGGGAGAAAAGTGTTCGTTTCTATTTTCTACTGAAAAATCGTTGTAACGGTGTTCGTTGTAACGATATTTGACCGCATCGCTACTTCAAAGCGAAGGAAGTGTCGCGCGTGGGAGTTCAACCTGGAATGATTCAGGTGGAACAAATGATCGAAGATGATTCTGCTGCTAAAATAGCAAGACGGAGTCATGAGTCACAAACGTCACCGCCGCACGCAACGCGCTCCGCTAAAATGCCTTATTCATTGGAACAATGAGAACAGGTCCTTCCATTCGCAGGTTTGAGTCGTAACTCAGTGAGTCGTGGGAATTCGGGATATATTGAACGGTCCTCAAGCACAGAGCCAATCTCGGCTAAAATGACGGGCAAAGATAAAACTAGCTACTCCTAAGCGGTAAAGGTAGCCTATGTGTCATCTTGAGTGACCGCGTACGCCCCCTTGCCAATCGGCAGTGGAAAGAGTTCCGCGGTATTCGCCGTCGATAATTTCAGGCGCCGTCAGAAAGCGATGTTAACATTTTTTCCCTGTCGGCGCTCGCGATGGGTGTGGTGTATCTCATCCGACATGGGCAACGGTTCCCCTTGAAGGCTTTCCCCCTCCTCGAATCGGCTTTCGGAGGAGAGCCGATAGTGGCCGGAGAGCTCACCGAACAAGGGAGAGCCAGGATGCGGGAGTTGGGCAGCACTTTCAAGGGTGTGCCTATTCGCGAAGCGAAGTTCAGTTGCAATCGTCGATGCAGGGATTCCATGACAGAGCTCCTAACGGGCGCCGAGTGTGCCCTGGAACCAGAGAGCCTCGGTGACCGTAACTATGACAATCTCGAACAATTCTGCGAAAGAAGCGACCTGAACACCCTGTCCGCTGCGATGAACTCGAGCATCAGAAATCGAAAAGCGTTCGACGCCCTGAACGAGAAATATTTCTCCGGCCTTGAGAAAGGTCTCATTCGAGATGTTGCGGGGGGCACCCTCATCGACGCTTTCGCCATTTTGGATGATAGAGGCGTTCAGAAAATACCCGACGATTTGGCATCGCTCGACTTGGACTGTGCTGTCGCTGTGACACTGGCCCTTCAGCACGATGTTGAAGGACCGATCAAGAAAACTATTCGAGACGCTTTCGAGAAGGAGGACGGGCAAACTGTCGCAGTCGTGTCGGACATTCATATAATCTTTGTGCTCCAGAGAGTGGCTCCCCTTCTTGTGAAAAAACGTCCCCCTTTTGGGAGTGTACTCAAGATGACTTCAAGGAAAGACTGTGTTGTAATTGAATATTTGAATGAAAGTGTTGAGATCCCGCTGACCGACTTTCAGCGAATGATCGAATCACAGACTCCATCATCCCACTTCTGATTCGACCAATTCCTGAACGCTCAATTGTGGAGAATTCCGAAAACCCCCCGACACAAAGATCCACATCAAGCGGCGGCAGCGGAGTCTACCGCGCCATTATGGTGCGATGACGCTGTCTTTTCGGACTCGACGAGCAGCGTCATCTGACGCACTCTAGAGTTTCTATATTTCCAAGAATCGAGGTCAATGTGTTCACGCTAGCTGATCCACGGAGAGATTTGCACGGGAGGGATCTATCTGGGAATCGGTCTCCTCGTCGATGACTGGCATGGAAAAAAAAGAAGCCATAAGCTCCGTTGGCAGATGCTTTTATTGAACGAATCGTAGGACTCGACGGATAATAAATACCGTTTTGAGGAGTGAGTTTAATTGCGGAGTAGTAACCCCCAGATGAAATATCTGTACCAAAGTCGAAGCCAGATGAGAATTTCGAGTAGGTAATTTTAATTATTTTCTTTCTCCCAGCACCCCTCCCCTCCGACTGAAAGTTAAGACAAGAGAGTCGGGGATACTCTTCTAAATGCTTCAAGTCTATTCTATGCCATGATCACAAAATAGAATCGATTATTACAAGGAACTAGTCTCACAATTGCATCTTTGTCTTATGGCTAGCATTTCTGCCTCGGAAAGGAGTCGTGATTCTAATGTAGTTCCCCTTTCTGGCACCTCTCACGATTCGTTCCCCCGTCTTCATCGCTGGCTGACTGCGCGCGGCTTGCTGGCTTGTCAACGAGTGCCGTGATCATATACAGAATATTTACAAAATCAAAATTGAGCTTAAAGCTTCGGTCGAATCTCTCTCATCTCCTGGCACACTCATAGCTGGTCGTTCCGTTCCGCATAACGTTTATGGGTTATCATAAATGCTACTGGATCCGGACAAGGGTAGAGGAAGCTTCCCCTGTCCCGTTCCCATTTGGGGTCTCGACAGTCCTAGCGGAGGTTTTCGCTGGATGGGAACGGCGTTGAGCTGGCGCGCTTGAAGCAAACTCATCTGCGGAGAGCAAAAGCAGGAAATTCAATCAGAATTCATTTGATCGCTTCGCGAAACATTCGATCCTACGGTCTCCAGACGGGGTTTAATCTCGTGAACGGACCCGGTATGGTCAGGATTATTCTCAATGACGACATTCAAATAACTCCACGCTATGGGTTTCGATCTTGAATCGTTCAGTTTTTCTTCTCACCTGGTCCTCGATGCTGCTGGTCGACAGTTTTCTCTGCATCTGGTGATTGCCGTCGAGGAGACGCTGCGGAGCGGGACCCTCCAGGCTTGAAGTTGAGCTTTGCTTCGTCATCGGTGGGAATGCGAAAGGTGATGGTGGATTGCTGGTGGGCGTCGAGCACGCAGACGAGTTGTTGATTGCTTCCACCATTCCCGCAACGAAACCCGTGCGAGGGAGACTACCTGAGGAAGAACAGAGACCATTCCAGAACCCATCGATTTTCTCGTGACGGCACGACGGACAGAATCGGCTGAGCATCCGACGGAAACTGGACCCAGAGCATACCTCCATAGCTACTGCAGCTATTAATCGGCGTTGAGCGACCAGACCGTGGCAAACCTGAGGCAGAATCATGAAAATGTATAGGTGTTGAGTTTCCAGAGCGGAAACTCTCAGGATTATAAGAAGCAGACGTTGAACGTGGAAGACTTTCACTCCTGCAAAACGTGCGAAAGCATGAAGCTGTTGTGCGGTCCCTCGATTTAGGTACTTGAGGTGAGTAGGCAGATCGGCAGAGTGCGAAACGATGGTGGCCGAAGCGCTTATGAAAAATTCTCTTCAACGAACCTGAAGGACGTCGGAGTACTGCTCCGGGGGGTGGATGTCTCGCTTTTGTGTCCCCTCTCGGCGGAAGCGGTTCGGCTCCCTTGGGTCGGTATACGTACGACGTCTACGGTGTCCAGGAGGTTCTTAGCGTCTACGGCTAGAGCGTGAGCCGAGGCCAACATGGCTTTCCGATACTCGCCATCCAGAGCGGTCTTGTAATATCGGTGGGCTAACTTCATGGCTTGAACTAAATTCGCCATATCTTTGCTGAGTACCTTGTGCGCCATTTCTACGTTCCGCCGATGCCAAGTGGGAATCGTTGGCACAAGCTTGTCAACGGTCGCTAGCAACGCCCTCAATTCGAGACCAACACTTTTGACTAATTCGACGTAGTCGTCAACACGTGACTCCTTCACGCCATTCGAGAGCAGCATTATCGTTTTTACCACACGGGTGGTGCATTCGTAGACCACATCGCCCGTTCGGTCGATTTCGCTGCCGGCGCGCGACGGAGCCGCGGCCGAGGAGCCAGGCGTAGCTGAACCCGACGTCGGTAGCGAGGCTTCTGAGGAAGAGTGAAAATACTGAGTTCTGACTTTCTCCTCATTATCCATCGTTAAGCGGTTCAGGGATCCGGTTCGAGCTCCACGAGGTATCGGAATGGACTGATTCGATACTCACGAGGCGACGGATTGCCATTGGAGGCCGCAGCTTTGATCTGAGAGCTCGGAGCCGGAGCAGGATTCTGATGGCCCAGCTGTGGAAATGAAGCTTCCTCGTTCAACCATCTCTGGTCTTGTTCTATTTCCCTCTGCTGTTCCTTCAACTTGATCTCTAACAGACGCTTCTCCAAGAATTCGTGGTCGTCCACGACAGAGCTACGAATCGGAGGCGTATTCGGTGCCGGGGGCGGTGGGGGGTTGTCCTGGAAAACGCGTGTTTTACACTTCTTGACTTCCGTAGTGAAGGTGGAGCCTCCCGCGCTATCGAGGGCTCTGAAACATTCTCAAAACTATCGAAGGGGCTTACCTGCTGCGGAAATGCGTTTGTCGGTGAATTGAAGCTGTTGGGTGGCGACGAGAGGCTTCCTATGGTTGTTGCGGATGGGCTCGGGTTCGTGTTCAGAGGCAGCCCAGAGCCCTTGGCAGCGGCTTCGAGCGCGGACGTCACGCGTCCCGACGCGCCGACCGCGAATGTGTTCGTCGGTGAAGCGGGAGCGACGTATGCCCAAGCAGGAGGTATTGCCCCATCGTTTTCTCTCATCAGCCGAGCGAGAACCTCGGGTGTCTCCGCTACGATATACGTCACTGGAGCTTGGGGCGGCGTACCTTGCGGCTGAGGAGTTCCGCAAACGCTATTCCTATCGCTCAACGGTCGGGCGGGCTGAAGAAACATATGAGACACTGCTTACTCGACCGAAAGTGGATTTCACCGTGATTCGAATCGGAGAATTTCATTTAATTAATGAATTGATCATTTAATCGGGAACCTATCAAATCATGGTAGATTTTTCGGATGGATTAAAACTTCTATTTACCTTTGGAGGCGGTTCGTCAGATCCCGAAGATCCCCACGAGAGAGTATTATTACGCCGCGTGTCTCGACGAACACATTCGGCTTGAGTTTTCTCCTCATTGTAGATTTCGCTGGAAACAATAATCGAAGGGTCTCCTAAGCGATGATATCAGCGAACCAGACTCCCGGTTCTATATCGGGTGGCCGGCCGAATAATGTCCGACTTTATCCATCTGTCTCTTCCACTCACTTGAGAGCTTCTTTGATGGCATGAAATTGGGGTCGTTTACTCGGCTCGTACGACCAACACACCGACATGATGCTGTAAAGCCTCGGTGGGCATTGTGTGGGCAGGGGAAGCCGTTCGCCATCCTCGATCCGTCCAACTACGTCATTATTCTTCACTCCTTGGAATGGTTTCACACCATACATGAGGATTTCCCAAACGCATACAGCGAACATCCACACGTCACTCGCGGTTGTGAATCGTCTGAGAATCGGAGCGTATCAATGAGTGCCATTATCGAAATGAGCCTAGCATCGAATTTAAAGTTTTCAAAAATTCCTGAGTTCTCCGGAAATCATCGATCAACAGATTAACTCACCTAAAATTAATTGATTCGGGAGCCATCCATTTGATAGGCAGTTTGCCGTTGGACGCTTTGTAGCACGAACCATCATGCAGAACTCGAGAGAGTCCGAAATCGGCTAGCTTGACACAATCGTGCGACGCAACCAAAACGTTTCTAGCGGCAATATCTCTGTGCACGAATTTCTTCGACTCCAGATACGAAAGCGCGGTCGACAGCTGGTAGGCATATAATAACTGGTGGTGCAATTGTACCCGTTCCCGGTTCTGTTGCAAGTAGCCTCGTAACTCTCCATGCTTTGCCAGCTCCATCACGATCCAGATTGGCGACTCGGAGCAGGTACCCATGAGTTTGATAATGTGAGGATGATCGAACTGTTTCATGGTGTCTGGAAGGAACCCCTGGTCAGATTCAATCATTCTTAAGGGTTTCGCCGGAGAGGACGGAATTCCAACGGAAAACTTAGGGGAGAGACATGGAATTCTTGATAAGCGCGACGCGGAGAAAAACTCACAGGCTTCGTCTAGGAACTTGTCGCCGATGCCCTCCTGGTTCTCCACTTTGCACGTTTTTATTGCAACTTGTAGACTCGACCCATCCTTATTTCTCCAGACCCCCCTATAGACATCGGCAAATTGACCTTCTCCGATGATTTCACCCAATGTTATGGTTGTCCGGTCCAATTCATAGTCTTTCGCTGGGGAAAAATGGAACGTTGAGCGAATAGCATGAATATACGTGGCACATCATCCGTGAAAAAGAGCACCGCGATACCTAGAAATTTGACTGGGAATTAAACAAGCATGAGATGGATGACGTAAAAGAACTCACTCGCTGTCGAATAGTCCCCGTCATCGTCGACAATTTCGGCGTAGTCTTCCGAATTGCGTTGCTTCCCGATTCCATTGCGCGTTTTGGCTGAGCTCCTCCTGGAATGATAAATTTCCGTGAGACTTGCGGTCTCTAGGGATTGGAATGGCGGCGGACCGTCGAATGAAATTTAGCGTCGCTGTCAGTCGACTTTTCCTCTAGCTCACCGATAGCGCGGCGGATGGTTGTCTGCAAGGAAATAGATGAGGTACATGAGATGAGGAATTCTTCGATTATACCCTACCCCTCGATCGCATTCGGGGCCTCTGTCTAATATGCGACGAAGCGGTCGAGATTTCCATGGGTTAGTCCGGAAGTTGACTCATGAGCATACCTTCACTTTCAACTACATCCTGAGCCGACGGTGTAGCGACTTCTTTCTCGTCACTCGCGTCATTTAGTTCTGATGGCAAGAGATAGCGGAAGAGGAAGGAGATCGGAATTCGAGATTAATTACACAGTTAGGAAGTCAGGCGTCCGGAAAAGCAGAAATTCATGCGAGGAATAGTCATATCGTATGTTAGGCAGGCATGCCACGTTTCCAGAACCGATTCCACATTCAAGCTCACCTTTTCTGGTCCAATACGAGGCTTGTGTGCTATGTACCAGCCGACAATAACCATCGATGAGATCAGCGATGCCCTCGGCGGTTCGCAAACTATCGCAGGAAATACTCAGAACGTCGGCGGTTCCCGCTATCCTCAGCTGGAGCTGAGGCTTTTGGCCGTCCTGCACGACTGTTTGAATGTTTTGCACCTGGATGAAGGATCCGACGTGGTTGAGGGAACCGTTTTTGTCGGTCAGGTACCCGATTCCCGATTCACACGAAATCACCAAGTCAACGGAGACTGTCCAGCCGGTCTGAAACGGATCAGGTTTCGAGTCAGCGATTCTCTGTCCAAGGTCCGGAGGGCTGGCGTTGATTAACGACTCGAAACTCACCCCTAGCTGGCATGGGAAAATTTCTCGGTCGTATCCGACGACGCTCCTGACCGTTTGGAGAAACTGATGCATGCACTGGATTTCGTTCAGCCGAACGAAATTCTTGAAATGAGACTGAAGCATCTTCCTGAGCGCTTTGGGTTTGTGCTGGCTGACGATATTTTGGGGCAGGAACCGATCGAGACCGACCTCGCGTTCGAGGAACTCCAGGTTAGACTTTTTGTCGATTGCCAGTTGTGATATATCTTTGTAGAACCTGTGGATACAATCGGTGAGGATTGAGGAAAAGTGGCGCGATCCACGTTTCTGGAGGAAAATCGAGAAATAATTCCCTCGTTTCTGATACAGGCAAAACACATCTTATTGAACCCTGTCGAGTCTTACCTTCGAATTTCGAGGCAACACAAAGTGATGGCCAATTCGAGATCAACTTCATCGAACGTTCGGAGGTAATCATTTTTAACTTGTTCGTAGAAGTAGGTGAATGTGACTCGATCGCGAGTACTGAATTCATTGAGATTTGCGAGGAGATATCGGACTCGCAGCTCGAAACTGTGGAGGGGAAGAGGGACTCGTAAACGAGGAGTATCTACGCGAACGGCTGCGTTATGGTCGGCTGGTCGAATTTTTTCTCCGCAGAAGCAATTCGGATTTATTTGCTTACCGCCAATCGTTGAGTGAATGTTGGGGAAGATACTTTTCGAGAACCTGGTACATCGTGGTATCGCGATGTATCCACTGAATCTCACCGGTCGCGGCATGTCTCAATCGAAGTGCGAATAGAATTTCCAGAGGTAACGTCGTCGGGCATAATTGGCCACAAAGGAGGTGAATGATGCCCTGAAATCGCCGGCGGTCATTCCACTGATGAAGGGAGGCTAGACGAGCTTGCTTCCGTGCTTGAGCTCTCGCACGTAGAATCTATTGCGACCCGGAACAATTCATCTTACCTTCACGTCTGTGGCATCTCCGCATTTCACGCTACGGAATTCACCATTGTTGAGGTAGACTTTGAGAACAGAAATGGTCTGTTGACCAGTGCCCTGATTGACATTCACTCCGAGGGGGAGCTTCGCCGGCGAAAGACCGTCGTCCGCGCTTTCTGTCCGAGTATCCAATCTGGAAGCAGGAAGGAAAGTTTCTTGAGATCGATGTCGCCATACAATCGCTGCATGATTCGGATTCTCTCCAACAAAACTGTGTTGCGTCCATCGACGTGAGCCACCGTGACCGGCGAGCGTCACGTCGGAGAATCGACAGGATAAGAAGTCCCAGTCCCCAGGCGTGAAACCCCTCATTACACCATATCTATAACTAAGAATCCGAACTGAGTGAGAGCGACACTATTTGAGAATCCGAATCGGTGGTGGCTAGTAGCCGATGCCCAGCTTCGGGCTCATGAAAGGAGCTCCGATCGGATATCGCATCAGCTAGGCTGCCCTCAATCAGACGGCCAAAGTCTGACCTTTAGTCTGAAAGTGCGATTAGATGTGCGGCATATGTGGCAAAAATAGCGGGATTCAATACTAGGTACTAGAGCCCTCTACCACGGCTTTCCTTGAAAAAGAAACTGCGTGACGAATTGGATTCTCCTTTCCAAATACTTCTGATCTCGGGGATCTCGACGATTCGGAAAAAGCTGTTGATCGTGTCGCGCACCGCAAGAGCCGAAAGTCCTGAATTCCCGAAATGGAATTTCCCCAGCACCGGGTCACTCGACCTTTTAAGGAGTTCCTGAGCTGAAGCATCAAGCACTCATCTGTTTCTCAAGCAATTTATCACAACGCTATGATCAAGAGGCTAGTGGTTAAACGTAGCGTCAAATAAGGGCGGTTGGATCGCCGAAGCCTTCTTTGAGCGGAAATTCTGCCTGTCATCATCCATAATTGGGTCTTATTAAAAATGATACAATGTTCTGTAACGAGCCCCCTGGTGCTATCGCTCTGTCCCATTCGGAGTAGGCGAGTGTGATTTCAAGACAGCGATTCAAGTCTTCCGCTGGTAGTACCGTTCAATCCAGAAAATCAGCGTAGAAACAGAGAAACGGTGATGAATCAGTCGAACGCTCGAGGCATTACCAGGAGGACCATGTCACCTGACGTTTTGCTCGACACTTCATCGGCATCGTCGCAGATGTCTTCTTGCTTAGTTCTGCTCGGCGTCGAAACTATCGCTCCCATCGATGACCAGCAACAGGTGTCTGTCCGGTGAGGTACTCGCTGCTGTCGTTGTCTTACGAGGGGTACCCCATGAGCGAGAATACGAAAATTCCGCTTCCGATCCGACCGAAGTCCTGTTATGCAGCCAGCCAAGCCACCTGTCTGGCGCCAAGCTAACGTAACTTGCTCGTCAGTTGAATGGTCTGTAAGTTTTACGCGCGCGAGAGGCACCCATCGCGGAGCCGCGCTCGGGTTTTCTTCACGGACCAGCATTTGTAAACTCGCTTTACGATCTTCCCGCTGAAGAATTTTCTGAAATATCCGCTCAAAAACCTGCTCCGCTTCCGTGACTAGTCGCTTTTGCTTGAGACCGCGAAAGCCTCTGAGTTGACTAGATCCTTCGCTGGCTAAGAAAACAGTTCTATGATTCGTTGTTTACGATGATGTAACCTTATTGTTAGAAATGATAAACATAGAAGGGGGCGCCCAACGTCTCCATCACCGAGCAGATTGGAAACAGGTCGGGCCTCAGATCTATCGGAACTGACACCTCCTCGATTTTACTCTAGGCGTTGATTGGCGCGTAGTTCACCGGGACTCGCTGTTAGGAGAACCTCATCCGTCAATGCATAAAACATGCGCATCTCCCTCCGTCGATTCGGAATATTGTGGCACCGGAATTCGAAGACGGAGCCTCTGCTCGTTGGCCTGCGTGAAACGAGAAATTGAAATGACACACGAGACAGGAATCGAGGGATCCTCTTTCCTGCAGACGCCGCGACGGGATCCGCGCATGAAAATAAAGACAGCGACGGTGCAGAAAGCGTCTCACGGGGGATAGTAGTGAGGGAACGACGATCGAGAAAGGGAGGTGGCGTGACTCAGACAAGCTCTCCCGTGACCACAGAAAACTGAGAATGAAGCTCCGGTCGAAGCCGCAGTGGCTTGACCTTTCTCACAACATCGACAGCTATTCCGATCGATCTTCCAACGTACACGGGAATCCGGATGAAAGTCAATACACTCACGAACCAAAGGACGCTCCTTTCATAGCGGAGAATATGCATCAATCAAACGAATCCGAGAAAAAGAGACGAATGAATCAATCACGGCACGTTTCCCCGATTCAGAAATGGAGGAGGGGTCTAAGGTAATTCCCGCTCGACCCATGCAGGGAGAAGGAAGACTCCGGTCATGGGTATTAGCGATCGTCGGGGAGCTACACCGCCGAGGACGAAAAGGCTCGGTCAGAAAGCCTTCCGAGGGAAAACCTCGAGACACAAAATTCCTGGACGATCTTCCGTGTCCAGCGCAGCCTGTCGCAAAACTGACCTTAAGGTGCGAACTCGCCGGTGGGTGAAAGTGTTCAGGTGCGACCATCCTCTGTAAGCTGGACGCTGCACCTGAGGAGCTCTCATTTTCACTGAAACGTCGAATCCTCACGGCTCCGTGCGGACTTCGACGCAACCAGCTGATAGACTGCGAAACCACACAGTTCTTCATCAGTGCCTTGCAATCCGAACATTATGGATGACCGACTCCGCCAACACTACGTCGTGCACCGAGACCACTGAACTAGATTTTCACTCAGAAGGCGGACTAACACCGTGAAGTACGCAGAACATCTGAACTTCTCATTCAGATCCCTCAAGCGCTGATCGTCTGCTCCGGATTTTCGAGTGGGTAGTAGAAAATCAGCAGCGATCGCCGGAGTCGAGTCCCAAAGCGGACAAGTCTACACAAGCAGTTGACGAAGAAGTCGGAGTAAAAAAAGGAAGGACATACCACAAATGGGCACGAGCTCGCGGCCAGCCAACACCAACAGAGTCGAGCCGTCAAGAGGACAAATCCATCCTGCGGCACCATCTATCTTTTTTCCAATGAGGGTTTTCTCGAAGCTCAACTTTTCAATCGCAGTGAAATGGTCTCCCTGAAGCGTCAGCCGTTTCCGTCGAGTAGCGACGGCCGCCGAGACATTTACCGCAGCTTGGTCCGCTCGAACGGATGACGGGACCCACGGCTGTTAATTGCCGGGAAACTTCCGTGGCCTTTTTCCAAATACGTCTTGGTACTTCTAGAATCCGGAGAACGAGCGCGAGTTCTACTCTCTTGCTCGGTCATGAGACTTGCACGACCCGGGGAAAGCTGACGATGGAGTTTCCTCGAAGACGAGACATGCTACGCTGGCTTCTGCAAAGCCGGACGGGTTCACGACTACCCACTTGTCGGCTTGCCTTACGGTGTATCTTCATCTGGCCGAGTCAAGCTACCCTATCAAGATCCGATGTATCTAATGTGACAGCTCACGTGAATATTCTGTGTCGTCACTGCAGTGAACGGTTTCCGAGAGTTCCGCGGCTAAAGCACTGCGGCTTGATTGTCCGCGGTGGCTTCAAGCCGTAGATATCCGTAGATCGAAGCGCGGAACCAGAACCCTTGATCCAGAGAAGGAATGAGACGTCCGATATTATAGAATCAAATCGTTTCAATTACGTTCGGAAATCATGACTCATTATTCTATCCGGTCCGAAAGGACACGGTGCGCGTCAAGCTCCCAAATAAAAACCGTCGAAACCACCATGCGGGCGCCTTTATTTCATTCGTTCATTTTCTTTTGCTATCTCGTCGCTTTATGTCCTAGAGCAATTCTCCCCCTTACCCGAAAGCCCATGCTGACGACTGTCGTCGTCTGGTCTCACGGGATTAGACCCCTACCGGGATTAGACGCGAGATAACAGAAAAACCAACAATGGGTGATATTAAACGTCTCGCAGGACTAGGCTTCCGCTAATACGCACGGATCATCTCATCCAAATGACACTGAGACTATGCGGTGACGGGAGCGGTCACTTCCGAGAACGAATGCCGTTTCCATCGTATTGAGTACGCTTCAGAGGCGGTTTGCGAGAAGTGATTTTCTCGGACAGGTTTCCGTCGGCATCAACCGTCGCCAGACATCGGCCGAAAGCCAGTCAGTGGGCAGTGCGGTGAACGCGCGGAAATTCGGCTTGTCGATAGAGGCGGAAGTCGTGTGCGACCTCTGGTGAAATAATATCCATGTCCATAATATCATAATTCAGACGGAATTTCGGTACAAAGCATGAGATCTCTGGCGAAATCGGTTTAGGACCCCTCGACGTCTGTTTGCTTTCATTAGCATCCTCATCCCGCACGTATGTATTTTTGTAGGCGGATTCCCTCGCCGCGGCTCCATTACGGGGCACGCCTCGATTTCTCGATGAGATCATCATCGGCCTCGCTGCCGCAGGTTCTGCCAAGACGGCCGTCGCTGATGATGATGCATACATGCGAAGCAGGAATGAGGCTGTATTTTTTCTTCTGACTCCGGAACATCCATCCGTCGACGATCAAAACAACCAAATAAACCAACCGGCTGATTCTGACTGCCGGTCGCCTGGTTTGTTGGCGTCGGATGTTTCCGAATGCTACGGATCACGCTGGACGCTGGGTGAATTTTATGCCGTTTTTCCGCTCGTCGCAGAAATTTGCATATCTCGACGAGCGAGTCGCGACGGGAGAAGCAGCGAATTTCGAGTTTTCAATTTGTCTTGTATAGTGAAATGCACCGATTTTTTTTCCGTTCCTTTTTTCCACCGCAACCAGAACTAGATGCTGTGGATCACACACAGGTCGATCCGCTGCGCCATTTCAAAAACGTTGACTCCAGAACCAACCTGTGCACATAACACGCTCGGATTAAGCATCCCAAGCCTCCGATCTGGTCCAGGTGCTACGCCCCGCCGCTCGGAGCGGCTACGAAGTTATCTGGATACCGCAATGAGACTGAGGGCTGGTGCAGATGAGACAGAAAACAATTTTCAGCCGATCAGAAATTTGGTTCTTCTCGGACGCCTTGCCGTTATACAGGTTCGAAGTGAGACCACCCTTGTTCAGAAGTGTGTCGTCTTCAATCTCTCAGTCA